CATGTCTCAGAGTGAGGGAGGTGGGCACAGACAATACTATTGTTTGTTACAGGGATGAGAATTGGTAAACATTTCTGAAATGCATATTGTCAGCCATTAGCTGGCTCTAAATCCGTTTAATCTGTTCACAACATTTTACTTTTGGGCTCAAACATGAACTTTTAATGCAATGGAAAATGTAGGTACCCGAGCTTTAATTTAGAGGAGAGGGGAGACGCGGACTGTTTTCTGCAGCGGTGTATTTATTGGGTGCACAAATTACGAAAAGACACGCATGGTCCTGTGCGCGTTTATGGTCTTGGGTATATGGTCACATTGCGGCTACGCGCTCACCGTGTTGTGTTGTGAGCGGCTCCCGGTGAGCGGTTCCCGTGTCCAGCTCAGAGCCGCTGGATGCGGGAACACTGCGGCCGCTGAGGTGGTGGAATCCCGTTCGAGTACATACAGCAGGAGCCCCGCGGACACGCGCGCTCCCCTCAAACATTTCTCAACGGATTTACACTTTTCACAAACATGTGTTTTGTATGAAGCAGACAGACCGGCCCAAATATGGGCATCGGCCCTTCGGGCATTGCCCGGTACGCCCGATGGCCAGTCCAGCCCTGGACTCGCCATATGGCAACTCGAGCAGTAAAGGACTGAGGGAGAGACAGCAGCCGCCATAGGAGTACCAAGTTAGCGGCTAGGCTAGGCTAAGCTAGTCCGGATCCGGAGGAACTTTGGTGAAGTGTGATGTATCTTACTGGGACTGTAGCCTTATCTCCTAACTGAATCATGGCTACATGACAACATATACCCGATTCAGCTGTCAGCATCACCAGCTTCTCTATCGTCAGGGCTGACAGAGACACTAAAGCGTGCGGTAAAGCCATAGACTGTATATATTAATGGACAGAGTCACGCCTATCTCCGCCGTTCTAACTAATGGGCCAAAAAATGTGCTCTGCTGGAGCAATCCAAAATGGCCGCGAGTGGTCCCGCCCACAAGAAAATTGTGAAAAAACGCATCTGCGCATGCGTCAGCCGGCGCAACTCCATTGATTTGAACGAGAAACTTGAAAAATTCACAGCAAGTAAACTAGAGTGGACCAAAAAAATGCACCCCCCTCAGCATTGACACACATGTGGAACGGAGCTTTGGGCCAAGAGCCAACTTTTGGTCCATCCTGTAAAGACGTTTTCGAGAGGTCAGCTGATGCTATATGTTAGCATTGGCTAATTCTACTTCTGGGTCCACCCCCATCGGCCCGGGGTGGTATTGCAAGCATGTCAGCGCACGTCATTTTGGCCACTTTTGAGCTGGGACCCTCCCCCACTGGGTAAAGCGAAGGGCGGTGGACTTGCCATGCTTGTCAACAACAGATGGTGCCATCCCGGTAACATAACCGTGAAACAGAAGAGCTGTTGTCGGGATATTGAACTGCAAGTGGTCGGCATGTGTTTACATTCCTCCTCGCGCGGTGCCGGAAATTGCGTGTGACGTCATTCAAGAGGCAGTCGCTAAAATTCAGTCACAGCATTCTGGAGCATTGATGATTGTATCAGGGGACTTCAGCAATGTTGATGTGAGCTCACACCTGGGTGGCTTTACAACAGGGGTGTCAAACTCATTTTGGTCCGGGCGCCGAATACTACCTAATTGGTTCTCAAATGGGCCGGACCAGAAGATGCTCTACAAAAATACCCAAAAACAGTACAAAGTCCAACTTCTTGTGCACATAAACACATTTATTTAAAACGTCCTTTAAAACACTGTCCTTTAATACTTTGACTGTAAATCTACTTACTTAAACTTAAATGTAACAGTGAGTTTTTCATAGTGCAAATAATGTATTTACAATATTACATTGTAAATGGCATTTCACAATATTCGTATTAATATTTGTATGTTAGCTTTGTTTTAAGGCTCATACAGAGAAAACTTTCTCACAAAAGTAAAGTAGGTAGATAGAAAAAAGCACTTTAACACAGCACCTCAGCTTAACCATCTTCAGTGTGGTAAGGAAGTCAACGGTTATGCTATTATCACATTAACCATCTTCAGTGTGGTAATGAAGTCAACGGTTAAGTTATTGTCACAGAGAAAGCATCAAACTGACCATGATTCCGTATAAATGAACAAAATAACTTCCATAACGACTGCAGCAGTGTCTCTGTGTAAAATACAGTCAAATGTCCAAAAATCATCCCCTCCATCTGCAGCTTTGTCACTACACCTGCCTTTACCATCGGTACCAGGCGCAGGACCAGTCCACACTGTCCAACACACCAGCAACAGCAGCAGCGCTCAAAACTCCTGTGATAGTTTCAGTAACACCACAAATGAAAATGCGACATCAGTAACATCAGTCTCTTATTGATGTTGGTGACAGCGAGTGGTTTCTCAGACCACGTCAGCAGCCTGTATGAGAGTTTGGACAAACTCTCTCTAACTGTGCGGCTGCTATGCTAATGCTATGTTGTTAGCACTCAGGTAGCTTCCCTTTAAAGCAGCAGCACTAACCTCTCGCTCTTGGCACAGACAGACTGCTGTGTCTTCAGGGCCAGACATGTTTATCTTCTGTCTTCTCAATTCTCCGCTCAAAGTGCCATATTTTTCGCCAAGTCTCGTAGTTTAAGATGTTTTTCCTTCAGCACTGCTCTGGTGGAGCCACTACAGACGCACTGGACTCACTGCTGAGCGGAGCCTCGTGTCGCGTCGCGGATTTTTCTACTTTTTATTATTAATATTATCATCATTTTACATAAATGAGCCGCGGGCCGTGTCAAATCTCTTGGCGGGCCGGTTGCCGTATGAATGACAGCCCTGCTTTACACAATATGTAGATTGTCCTACAAGACATAACAGCATCTTAGATCTATGCTTCGTGAATGTGAAGAATGCCTATAGTGTGGTAGCAATGCCCCCCCTCAGCAAGTCTGATTACAATCTGATTAATCTAAAGCCCATATATAGGCCAAATGTGATGAGAACGCCCATAGTTTGTAGATCATTCAGGCAATGGTCAACAGAGGGACTGCTTTGAGACTACCGACTGGAAAATACTTCTGGGCTCAGGGGAGGACATTAACAAGGCTGTGGACAGTGTTATGGACTGCATCTGCTTCTGTACCTATGTTGCGGTGCCAAAGAAAACAGTCCGCTTTTTTCCAAATAATAAACCTTGGATCACAAGTGACAACAAACACACTTTGAACCTAAAGAAATAGGCTTTTAAGGCAGGTGAGAGGGACCAGGTGAGAACTGTCTAACACGACCTGAAGAGGACATTGAGACAGGCAAGGAGGGAGTACAAGAATGGTTGGGAGGAGAAACTACAGAATAACGACACCCTGCTGCTGTGACCAGTCCTGCTCCTCTCAACGGCTATACCACCCCTGCTGCTGCGTCCTTCTTCACTGTGGAGGATGTCCGGGTGGAGCTAAAGAAGCTCCTGGGGAGGAAGTCTGCTGGGCCTGATGGAATGACGCTAAGGTTCCCGAAGGAATATGCCGCGGAGTTAGCTGAGCCTCTCCATGCCATCTTTAACAAGAGTTTTCAGACAGGATGTGTCCCTGCCCGCTGGAAAACCTCCTACCTGGTACCCGTCCCCAAGGTAGCAAGGCCGACAGGAACAGGATCAGAATCAGAATCAATTTATTGCCATTTGCAGAAAAAAACTACGTTGGAATACAAGCAGGAGACATCGGGGGCACCAACACCACAAAGCACACACACACACAGATAGAAAGAATAAAAATAGTGAGGCAAGACACAGTGAGGCACATATAAAACTCTTAAAAGCATTATTAAGGAGCTACGAAGGAGCTACAAAGAGAAGCAGATCTCAGGGCGCTCTGTTCAGTCTTATAATCGCCTGAGGGAAGAAGCTATTCGCATGGCGGGTGGTCCGGAATCTTCTCCATGAGGGAAGAGGCTAGAACAAGGCCGCTCCAGGATGGCCAGAGGAGTCATTTACAATCCTCAGGGCACGATTTAAGAGTCTGCTCTCATAAAGAGCCTCCAGAACGGGCATCTCACGGTTCACAGTCCCCCGAGCTGAACAAACCACTTCGTTCAGAGCTCTCTTTTCTTTGGCTGTGATGTTGCTGAGTACAAGGAGGTGGGGGCTGCCTTCTCAGACTTTCCTTCCTAAGAAGACTGAGGTCCTTCAATGTGAGCAGTCAGACTATATATATATACATATATTTTACCACTCTGTGGTAGCTAATGCCGTGTTCTTTGGGGTCGTGTATTGGGTGGCAGTCTGACCTTGAGCGACAGTAACCGGCTCGACAGGCTGATCAGGAAATGTGTCTTTGTGATGGGGAGAAGTGTGGGAGCTGTGCTGGAGCTAAGGATGAGGGCTCTAATGCAGGGCATCCTGGGTAACGCCAGACACCCTCTGCATGACACTATGGCCACTCAAAATCGAAGCAACAGGCTTCTATCACTGCGCTGCCGAACGGAACGTTTCAAGAGATTGACTGTCAGACTGTACAACAAACCTGGATGAGTTTTCTGCTGCTAGACACCTGAATTTCTCCTACGGGGGATCAATAAAGTATCTATCCATCTATCTATCTACTGCCACTACTACCGACATTGCTATTGCTAATGCTACTACTACTGCGACTAGTGCTCTACTACCCAGAATTCTATTGCTTCTTCTTCTTCTACTACTACTACTTTTTCTACTTTTTTACTACTACAACTACAGCTAGTACTACTACTACTGCTACTATTACAACTAGTATCTTGTTATGGTTCCATTGACGTCGCAAAAGGGTTGAAAGTGGTGATCAGAGCTGGGACTTTCCATCACACAAACCACTGCAGCTCTGATGAAGGAAACTAATGGTTAAAGGTATATTCTGAAAATGTTTGCCAGTCTAATCTCCTCGCATAACTCCTCTCTGACTACAATTTCAGCTCCAATATCACATTCACGTCAGCCCTGAAATGGTATTCCCCTTTGACGCATACACCTCTTTAGCCCGCCCAAAATGTGTTCCTCGTCATGCTGGCCTCAGTCACTCACGACTCACGCCCTCTCATCTGCAGTCACTGTGGAGACCTCTAGCACAATGTCTGGCCACACTGCCAAAAGAAACACGTCATTGTTTACATCCACTAAAGTCCAGTCGGTCTGAGTTTGAGTCTAATCAAACTCCCATAACACACATCTGTCTGCTATATAGTCATTGTACAGTGTTTACCAACTGGGGGTACGTGGGGTTGTTGCATTACAGTGATCGATCACTAAAACGCAATTCATCTTTCATGGCCTAGCTGTTTCGTAAGATTTATTTGCACGTTTTTTTTACAGCATGCTTCTCATGGCCTCGTGTAAACTCCAACAACGTCATATAACCGCTAGTATAAAAACCCCTTTATTTAAACTCAGAAGAAAACTGTTGTTGTGGTCCTCCTAGCTCTCAGTCCTGCTCCAAATGTGGAGCCAAATGTATTCAGATGTGGTAGCAACTGGCGTGTTACCAAGCACCAATCAGGAGCAGCGCCAATCTATCCTCTCTGCTCACTTTCTCTACTCGCTACAAAAGCTAAAATTGTTGACAGAAAACTACTGATTGGTAGTTGTTAGGGCTCATATCTGAATTTACGGGGACAGTAATACAATGGATTAAGAGAAAGCCAAACCATGTTTTTTGAAACTCAAAATGGAGAGTGTGATTTTAATACGAGTTAATACAAGCCAGAGCGTGCTGTAGCAAAACTATGTCCATGAACACTTCTCTACTGGGCTTTCTTTAGCTAGTAGGTTAGCATTACCATCTGTGTAGAGTTTATGGTGGTCAATTTAGGTTGAATCTCTTCTGCTGCACTCTTCAGGTGGACCGGTGGACTACAGCCGCCTGCCCGAGACTGTGCAGTACCTGAGGAGGACTCAAGGAGTGCTGAAGTGGAGAGCCAGGCCCGGACTGGACTGCTGGCTCTCAGAGAGGCGCTTCTGGAACAGGCTTCGGTATCACATGCCTCCAGAGTCGTCAGGAAGGAGCCGGGCTGGGCCTAGAGTAATGGCCCAGTCAGAGTTAGTCGAGTCCAAGTCCCTCACAAGTCTCAAAGTAGAGTCTGAGACGAGCTCTCAGGCCTGGACAGAATGCGGGGTCACACTCTTGGACAGACCTGAATATTGTGGCTGAAGTCCACACACGGTCCATTTCATGTTTGCTGCCCCTTTGCCTCCATTTAAATGAATGGGAGTCAATACCCAATGGTGGTTTGCAGGTTTTGTGCTACCATGCATGTTCTCATCTCATCTTAAATCTTAATTTTGTAGGGAAACAGACACATTACTTGTTGTGCTATAAACAATGAAACCAAAACATAATAATAATAATAATTTGTCACGTATGTATTTGATTTTTTCATTTATTGCTCAATCCAATAGTGGGCAGTGTTTTAACTTTAACAGGCAGAAGATTCTGGCAACAAATGTGTGATTGTAATTATTATGACTTTATTAGACCGCATATTACATACTGTCCCTTTAAACCTATCCAGAATCTGACTACAGGACTAGTACTTAGTGGATTACAAAACTAAAATGGACCCAAATCCAAAATATGTAGGAGAAATTAAAACTAATGCAGAATGAAACCAAGCCTAGAACTGGACTATATCTGTTAAAAGATTATGTATTTTCTTTAATGTTGGAGAGATGGGCAGCGGGTCGCAGGTCTCAACTTGAATTGGACTGTTCGAGAGCCTGAAGGAGTCTGTGAAAGCGGCATTACTATTGCAACAACACATCATCAGTAGGGTAAAACTAACCTGTCAACGACGGTCAACTCTACTCAAATTAAGGTATTCATATCGATTTTGAAAAAAGTGGTATCGGTGCATCCCTAGTTTAAAACACAGCTCATGGCGTAACAATGCTAAAGAGGTGAATTTTTACAAAGCACGCCTGTTCAGCCGCTGTGGATATTATAAGTACTGCAGCCATCTTGTTGCCGCTCAAATCACAGCCAATTTGTGATGCTTTCATCCAGCAGACGGAGCTGACAGCACCTCTTTCAGTTTTCCTGAGGGAAGGGTCACTCTGTAGCACATGGCTGGCTCCATAACTTTGTATGGAGAGAGTAGACCATACTCTGTCCACTCATTTGAATATAAAATATAATATACAGTATGTTAGTAATAATTGTCATAATTTTTACTTTTTAGTGTTTCATTATGCCTTATTTCTTACCGACTCTTGACTTGTTTGCACTGAGAGCCAAAGAAATGTCCTTGTAGCTTCTTAATAATGCTTTTAAGAGTTTTATATGTGCCTCACTGTGTCTTGACTCGCTAAATTTGTTCTGATTCTGATGAGTCTGTGACTTCCTGTTACTTCCATAGCAATAAAAATTATTCTGATTCTGAATATATCATTCAAAGCTTGGGTAACTAAATGTCATGGGTAATTGAAACTATCATTCAGTTTATTTTAGATCAATGACATGTGAAGCGTAAAAAAGAGTTCAATTGTTCATTGTATAAGGCCCGACAGAGTTCCTTGCTCCTCGTTCAGAGGCACTGGGGTCTTTTGCAGGAGGTTTCACTTTCATTTTGGTCTTGTGCCATCATGACGAGATTGTTAAGAGTGTTCAGTCTTCCCTTCATACCACTCTCACTCACAAACTTGCTCTCTCTCTCTCATTTATTCCTGAGGAAGACAAATAATCTCCTTCTTGCTGAAGATAAACATGTTTTCTAAGAAGATGAAGACTGCATCTTTTGCTCTGGTTTCTATTGTGCAAACTCAAGGGTCACTTGTTTGGATTTTGTCTCTTTTTGTTGCTGTATGTTTGTTAAATGTCATGAACTGCCGCGGGTGGCCCCTTATCCGAGTCGAGACGGGTTAAAGAAGCAATGCCTATCCACATAATATGATATAAGAGATTACAATATCCTGGTGTGGAATGGGTGTATTTATTTAAAGTTAAAGAAGTCAGTGGTCTTCAATACTGCTGGAAAAACTAATACACTCACATTCCTTTATTAACCTTTAGTTAACCAAGAAAGTCCTGCTGATTATACCACAGTGTTATGTAACAGTGTGTGAATGTGGCTGCTTTGGGCTGAATCTGCTCATCTTGTGCAGAAATGGAAAGTTGTTATCGGCTCTGATAATCCTGTTTCCTGTCTACTTCCTGTTCCACTGAAGTCCGAACCTGTTCATTTCCTGCAGCTATCTCCAACATGACTTTGTGTGACTCAAAGCGAAACCACAAAACATTAACTGTCATAAAATTAGGGCTGGAAATCGACCTCCCAGTCCAAAGCATTAAATACAGGGGTCCTAGGTTTTCTGATGAATGTTGTCGTCTGCTTTACAGCCTCAGTCCTGCGTCGTGTGGCCTCTATCCTCGGTCCTCTGTCCTGGATCTATCGTCCGTCCGAACAAAGGAGCAGGTCTCTCCCTCATTGTGAGCCTCCTCGAGGTTTCTCACTTTTTGCCACTGGGTTTTTTCCTTGCAGGATCTAAGGCTTCCGGGGGGCTCGTAGGGGTTAAAAGTTCATAAACATAGCTGGGTACCAAGCTTTAAAAGTAATCAACAAACAAACAGGGAGCCAGTGGAGGGACGCTAAAACAGGGGTGATGTGCTCCCTTCTGTTAAAACCAGTGAGAAGTCTGGCAGCTGCGTTCTGAGCCAGTTGGAGGCAGGAGAGGGATTTAGATTTAGAGTCCCTCTCTCGTTAGAGTCATGTTGAATAGTGTTGGTGATTTTGGTGACTTTAACGACATCTGCAAGTGGAAAAAGGAGATCCATGGTTTGGGATCCTTTTTGATATTTTTCAACCTAACAAGAAATTGTGTCATAAAATTATTTTTTTAATGTTTTCAACCAATTATGTTTCTTGGTGAGATAGTCATTATTATTCAAAAACTGTGCGCTTTAGTCTGGTGCATATATAACTTGACCCCAAAAAAATTATAACAAAAGGTTTCTCGGTGGTTTATAGTATCAGATGTTCTTGATAATGTACTAAAAGTTTACCAAAGTTTGACAACCAGAAAAAAATCTTTTTCAAGATGGCCACCGTATGAGATTAGATTAAGAAAACCTTTATTTGTCCCACAGCTGGGAAATTTCAGTGTTGCATCACAAGTTATAAAACAGTAGGAATGAGGAGCACACAGCACAAGATAAATGAACAATAACTATACTAATTACAATAAAACAAAAACTAACTATAGCATCAAAGAACAAGTAGGAAATCTCTATCTTGAACATAATAATAATAATAATCATAAAGAAGTATAAAAATGTTATGTTTGGCAAAATAAGAGACAAGTATAAAGTACTGTATATTCTAGTGCAATCAATATGTAGGTATACTGTATGTTTACATCTGTACATGTTAGCAGCAGTATGTTTACATCTGTACAGCAGCAGTGTTTACATCTGTACGGCAGCAGTATGTTTACATCTGTACGGCAGCAGTATGTTTACATCTGTACGGCAGCAGTATGTTAACATCTGTACGGCAGCAGTATGTTTACATCTGTACGGCAGCAGTATGTTTACATCTGTACGGCAGCAGTATGTTAACATCTGTACGGCAGCAGTATGTTTACATCTGTACGGCAGCAGTATGTTAACATCTGTACGGCAGCAGTATGTTTACATCTGTACATGTTAGGAGCAGTATGTTTACATCTGTACATGTTAGGAGCAGTATGTTTACATCTGTACATGTTAGCAGCAGTATGTTTACATCTGTACATGTTAGCAGCAGTATGTTTACATCTGTACGGCAGCAGTATGTTTACATCAGTACCGCTTTTTTTATTGTATTATTTACTGAACATATTTTTAATATATATATATATTTTTTTTATAAATATTTAATTTGTTTATTGTAATTTACTGTGTTTTACTGATATTTAGGTTTACAAACTTTTCAAACTTTTGTGTGTTTTAATTATTATATTAAAAAAAACCTTTTTACCTCATGTAATGTATTTTATTTACATTTTGAAGTTGGATTCACAATTTTCATCCCTCGCCATGGCGAATAAGGCCTCTCTTTTGGGTGATTTCGCTGAGCCCTCATGGGCCACAGGCTCAGACCTACAGAGCTGAGACTCACATCAGTAATATAAGTTTATGGTTACCTGTCGCAAAGTAAGAGGGCAGTAGTGGTCTACATTACATTACGTACAAGTTGTAAGTCCCACACTTGACCACTGGGGCGCCCTGAATTCTTTGGACGGATTGGATTTATACAATTTTCAAGAAGTTGGAATTTCTCCATGTTTGATGCTCTCTTTGCCACAGGCTCAGACCTACAGAGCTGAAACTTACATCACTAACAGTTGGTAATGGCCTGAGCGTAATGGTGTGAAAATACACAACCAATATTACTCTAGAGCGCCACCTATTAGAGGGTGCCGACCTAAACTTTCCCAATCCTCACCAAATTCGAACAGTTAAATCCTTACATTCGTAAAACCAAAATAGGGTGCATGTCCCAAAGGTGACCACTAGGGGCGCACTGAATCCTATTAATGAGCTTTTCCTTTTTCAATTCTGGTCCAATCAGGCTGCGAATTCATCAGCAAGTACACTGCATGCCGCTTATGGTACTGGCACCTGGGAGGCGGCTACGAGAGTGGCGAGTGCTTTCATGTCAAATGTCAATGTCAAATTTATTTACATAGCACAATTAAAATGCCAAAAGCTTCACGGAGTCGTGGCTGGAGGTGCAGTGGTTGGTGTACAGGGGGCTCCTGTATTTATAATCCTAGAGTCCGAGACATTCTTCCCCAGACGCTGCTTCCTGTCCGTCAGGAAGTCAGTGATCCACCTGCAGGTGGAATCGGGCACGTTGAGCTGGGAGAGCTTGTCCTGGAGCAGGGATGGCAGGATGGTGTTGAAGGCAGAGCTGAAGTCCACGAACAGGACCCGGGCGTAGGTCCTCGGGGAGTCCAGATGCTGTAGGATGGAGTGGAGGGCCAGGTTAATGGCGTCGTCTACAGATCTGTTGGCTCTGGCAGAGGACATATCTAAAAGAAGGAGGGCAGCTTGGCTGCAATTGTCAAGTGTTAAAAGAAGGTCATTCAAAAAACGCAAGAGTGCTGTTTCATCACTGCGGCTTTAATTTTAAGGACGGCGAGAGTAGAAATTTAGTTTAGGTCCATATGAAATGTTGTATACATGAATTCAGCTGAAAATGGGAGAGAAAAGCAAAGTAGAAAATTATATAAATCTTGCTGTTTTCTTCCATGCATATTTCCCGAAATGAAACCCGCATGGTTTATTTCTGTCTAATCCGTGGTTGATGACTTTTCCTGGAACAAGTGGGTCAGGATACAGTACAGTTAATACAGTGTGCATTAGTGACCATTGGGTCAGATAGGGCAGGTCTGCTAAGTGCATCTCGATGACCACTCACTTCCTTCTCAGTGAGGTGCCTTCCCAAAGATTGCGTCATCCAAAAGAAATATGTTCTTGTGCATTTTTTAAGTAAAATTTTCAATAACATCCTAATAGCAGTCCTCAAAATAAAAAATGACCTCATTCTGGACCATAGACTGCATAAAGTGGACAATGCTAACCTCAATCTAAGCTCAATAGGGAAGTGCTCATAGACAACGTTTTGCTCTAACTTACATTGAAAAGTAAACTCCTCTAGTTCAATAACCATTTTGACCAGGATTGACCAACCAGCTTGCCTTAGCAACCATGTTATTAGAAGCGACCTTGCTCAACTTGCCCATTACCTAAGTGTCGTCGAAAGATTGGGAACAATATGACAGAGGGGCACTGGACTGGAGCACTTCTGACTGAAGTGCTTGGTTTCACAGTGCCCTGCTCTTCTACACTGTTACTACGTACTGAATGACGCTACAAGTATGGACCTACGCAGAGCACAGACATGCCTCCCCCTGGCAGGAGTCACAGTGGTCAAGAAAATGTTGGCCCTTCGCTGGAAACCATCCCACACACTGTTCAGGCAGCAGTGGATCAGGACTTTCATGGACATTACAAACATGGAGCTGTCAGTAGCGAGGATGCATGGAGCAAAGATGGGAACAATTATGGCGTGGCAAGAACAGTTAGGGAAATTTAAAGACATAAATGGATTAGTTGGAAGGAGTGGAAACCGTGGAAAAGAAACACATAAAGAACAATGCGTAGTGTAACCTAACTGATATATGTATGGATGTATGTAACTTAGACACCTGGGAAAGGGAGGGGGGAGGGAAGCTGTTTGTGTTTTTTATTTGTATTGTAGGTATGAATGATGGACGGGTGAAGTAGGCAAGGCAAGGCAAGTTTATTTGTATAGCACACTTCATACACAAGGCAACTCAAAGTGCTGAACAAAATAAGAAAGCATTAAAATCATAAATAATCACAGAACATTAAAGAGAAAGATAACAATATAAAATCCCTCAGTTGTATGCACAGCTAAACAGAACTGTTTTTAACCTGGTTTTAAACATTGTCAGACAGGAGGCCTGACTCACATCTTCAGGAAGATTGTTATTTTAGCAGCTTGAATCTGAAAAGCAGCCTCCCCATGTTTAGTTCTGACTCTGGGCACTAACAGAAGTCCAGTCCTTGTGCTCCTCAGAGTACTGCAGCTCTTTTACAGCCTGTTTGGACAGACCTGTGAGCAGGCCATTGCAGTAGTCTAACCTACTGGAGACAAATGCATGAATAAGAATCTCCAAGTCTGCTTTAGACACTATGTTTTTGATCCTGGCAATGTTTTTTAGATGGTAAAAACCTGATGTTACTGATTTGATGTGGCTATTAAAATTTAAGTCTGAGTCCAGTATTACCCCTAGATTTCTGACCTGGTTTGAAGGTTTTAGGGAGAGAGACTGGAGGTGACTGATGACGCTCTCTCTTTGTTTCTGAGGACCAAAGACAAGCATGTAGAGATTGAACAGAAGAGGTCCCAGGATCGACCCCTGTGGTACTCCACAGGTCAGGGCCATATGATCTGAGACACAGTTTCCAATCTCCACAAAGTACTCCCTGTCTTCAAGGTAAGACCTAAACCAACTTAGGGCGGTGCCAGCGACGCCAACCCAGTCCTCTAATCTCTGTAAGAGGATCTCATGGTCGACAGTGTCAAAGGCACCACTCAGATCTAACAAGATTAAGATTGAGACTTTGCCTGCGTCAGTGTTCAGCCGAATATCGTTTGTTATCTTGACGAGAGCAGTCTCAGTGCTGTGGTGGGGTCTGAAGCCGGACTGAAAACATATCAAATGAGTTGTTGATTATAAGAAATCTAGTAAGCTGTTGGTAAACAACTTTTTAAAGGACTTTCCCCATAAATGGCAGATTTGAGATGTGTTGTAGGCATGTATTTGTTTTGACATGTGGACATAAAATGTAATCATATAACAATGTAACAACCCAGATCACATGTACTTATGAATCGGTGATGGAAACAAGAATGGAAAATGAATAAAGAATTTATCACAAAAAATAACCTTCAGAAAAACACAGCAAGGATAAAAAACGTGCAAGATCACAATTTTAAAAATTCATGTAAAGATTTCTTATATATGGTTGCATGTGCTATGCTGCTCTATCCTCTATCCTCTATTTTTTGTTGATTTTCTGCAGATTGAAATAGATGTATATGTTCATAAACAACTTGCTAACAAAGAGGAGCAAACTGTGAATTGACAGAGGATGTGTGTCCATCCACAAAACGAAGGAAAGTTCTTCATCCATAAATACAAGTACTGTAGAAGCCGAGTAACTTAAAAGTGGTACTTAACCTTTTAGTGTTTTGAACAAAGCAGACTACATTATTAACAAATAAACGTTAATGTTATCATGTAGTGTCAAATAGTAAGTCACATCTCATTCGTAGTGTACACAACACTGTCTGACACTTGGCTGAGATCTTTTCTGCATGCTCAATATCACACATTCAGTGAAGATAAAATCAGAGGCTGCATCCTCACCAACATGTTGTTTCAGTGACAGTAATGTACTGTGCATGACAAACACATCTATCTAATGTCTCGGTCAGTCGGTGGACCCTCTCTGGGACCACTTCCTATGAGTGAGAGCCACATGTAGCGGGTGTGAGGTAATGGTGGTGATTCCTCAGTCGAGTTCTCTGCCCCATTACAGAGCCTGCTTTCTTCACTATTTAATTGAGTCATTGATGGATCCAAATGTGCTCTTCTACTGCACTGAGCTTCACCCATGAGCAGGGAGGAGGTGTTCGGGGGCAGAAAGACCGCCCTCACAACTCCACGCGTATAAGAATGTGGAGACAGGGACTCAAGACAAAGACCAGAGACCAAAGACACAGAGACCAAAGACAGACCAGAGACCAAAGACAAACCCCAAGAGCACAGACCCAACACAAACACCAGTGTTGGTGTGAAAGCCCATGGAGTCCACAGCTCTCCTCTTTGCTCTGTTGTGGTCGGCTTCTCGCTCAGGTAATGCACACTTACTTGTTTGTTGGTGATTTGGTATGTAATTTTCACTGCACTGTATGGAATCTAGTCACGCAAAAGTTTCCTTAATTCAAGTGTTTGATATTTCTTGTCACGTGGTAACAGTGTAAACTGAGCATCCACTTGTTTGTCTAAGTGGTGATAGAAGCAAACAGTTTTAGAAGAGAATTGGGTTTTATGAATGACTTGTGGTTTGAAAGTAAGCTTTAAAGTATCTAAGGTTTTTAACCTTATGTTAGAAAAACAGAGTATGGCGCTCAGTCACAATGGAGGAGCATGGAGTAAAGCTTCTTCATCTCAAGAGGAGAAGGTGTGGTGGTGGCTCAGGCTTCAGTTTGGGATGCCTCCTGGAGAGATGTTCTGGGAAGACCCAGGACACGTTGGAGGGGCTGTCAGCTGCCTGAGAATTCCTCAAAATTACCCCTGATACTTGAGTGAAGATGGCAGTCTGGACATCTCTGCTCAGGCTATTGCCCCCGTGACCTCGAAATGAATAAAACGGAAGCAACATAAAAATCCAAAACCCACATGGAGCTGGGATCAATGGATCAGAGAATCAAACATTTTGATGCAGAAAATACAATAGAGACAAACTTATAGGAGCCATTGGTGCTTGATTGTCCATAAATGTCCCGAATCATCACTCTCCATTTCCTGTAATAGACTGTCCTGCATCTGCAAGTGGGAACAGTGGGAAAAAATGTGACGCTTGAGGGAGGCCCACTGTGAGAGAGGGATCCGCTCTACAAACATGGCTGTATTGCCAGGTCTGAAGCTGTGGATCCAGGACTGAGGCTGTAGCTTTAGTTGAACATTTCATTATGTGGTATTCCGGAGGGTGTGGTGGATATTATTTAACTGGATCCACATTACATTTATAATAAAGGACGTAGGTATGTTGTGATAACACAGAGGTGATACAGGTTACAAAAAAATGTACATTTATTAACAAGTTTGTTCAGGTCACTGTAACATGATTCTGGTCACTGTAACATGATTCTGGTCACTGTAACATGATTCTGGTCAATGGAATCTGGGTAAGGCAAGGCGGCGACAGTGCACCGCATGGCTCCATGGCATCAATCTAAAAGTACATGTATCTAAATAAATATAATGACTCAAATTGTTCTATAACCTATTAAGTTCTGCTACAAACCTGGGTTAGCGCGGTAGCCGCTCACACACATGAGCTGGGTTGACAGCCAGCACCGCGGGCGGTAGTTACACGGCAACACAAGTGGACCCATGGCAGCAGCACTGAACCACAATATTTAACACTCAGTGCTCCATAAAACAAATATCTCACATTTAACTTTTGGATACTACCTGAGAGCGGGAACAGCGACGTAAACACCGCAACCGGAAGCAGGAGAGTGAGGTCAGAGGACGAGTGAAAGAAGACGCATACCTTTTATTGGGTGATTGACAGGACGAACAACCAATAGAAAATGAGGACGAGAGAAAGTGGCATAGAGCCTGCCTGCAGGCTGTAATGCCACAATTATAAAAGCAGTAAAGTAATATCCCCCTTCTACCACTAGATAGAAGTGTCTTGCTGTTTCATGTATCTTGTACTAGTCCCATCTTAATCTTAAAGATGAAATCAAAGTCTATCCTCTGGGTAATGTGCTGCTTGCAGGTGCAGAGCTGGTGGACTGTGACGCGGCCCTGGCTCTGGAGAACGTCCGTCTGATGGAAGGGGAGTCCCTGTGGTTCATCCCGCCGGGCCTGGAAGAGGGCAGTACTCTGAGCTGGTTCTGGAACGTGTCTCAGGAAGTCCTGCCACTGTCCTCTGAGGAGACGGAGCCGGTGCACGCCCACGGAGCCGCGCTGTGTCTGCTTAACGCCACTCAGGGGCGCACCGGCTGCTTCAAGGCCCTGTACGCACTTATATGTGTTATTTGTACAGCACAAAACATTTCTGATTTATATTAGCATAGTGGAAAATCAAACAATAGGGTGTGTAGATGTTGTAGAAATCCTTCACTAAGTGCAAATCAATATTTTGGGGTTGCCAAAGTATTTCTGGATTGGTAAGGGGGCGCAGGGCTCAAAATTTTAGGAATTGCAGGGCTTATCCATTAGAAATGGTTGCTGTTGGTAGTTAAGAGTGTGGATGAGTGACTCTGAGGTAATGAAGTTGGACAATTCATGGTGTACAGTTATTCCTCGTTTATTGCAGAGTTACCTTCCAAAAAACTCCATGATACGCAATATCCTTGAAGTAGCAGCTCTATGCTTTAGGGCTGTAAAACCCTCACACACACTTTAGACACTTTTCCTACCACCTGAACTCACAACCGCTGAAATGCGAAAACATATCAAACCGGTTCATTGTAGGTCTGAGCGCTAGTCCTCTGAACTAATCACTGTGGGGAATACAAGACACAACAGTTTTCTTTTAACTTTAAACTAACAGTAACTGTCATGTTGTGTATGATGTCGTCGGAGTATAAAATCAGCGAATGAAAAGCACGCTGTAGAAAAGCATGCAACACTGCACACAAAAACCTTCAAAACAGTGAGACGACAAAACGTGAACTGTGGTATAGCGAGGGACCACTGCACACAACACATGCTTGAGTCGGTCGGTCTTTCTTCTTTTGTGTGGTCAGGGAGAACTTCACAGGTTCCATCATAGAGCACTACGTGAATGTGAGCGTGGTGGCGAAGAACAGCACCAAACTAGTGAAGGAGATTGAAGGAAGCTCCCAAACCATCTTCCTGTCCTGTCCTGACCGAGTGAGCCACGCCTGCCAGCTCAACGGCACCAAGGCCTGGTACAAGGTGATGATCGCATCTTCTCTGAGCTGTCCTTCCCATACGTCAGTTATGAAGGCAGTTATGAATTTATTTCTAAAGCACCATTCATGCAGAAACAACCCATACATCTGTATTACTAGACTAGACTATTAGACTTACACATCTTTGTCAGACGTCTGAAACTGTGGCTGAAATCGGAACAATATTGTTCACATGGTTAATGAACTGTATTTTGAATTACTTTTATATTTATACATTTTAAATGTGTGCATTTGTGTCCTAAAATCCTTCTATGGACAAGTGTTGAAAATTAGCATGGTCTTGCTATGACACTAAAGGCAGTGCATCTGGTCTGTCCAATGCAACTGTTGTGTCCATATCAAATAAATAAAGTAAATACAGGGTGAAATCCGAGGCACTCTGATTAAAAGTCCTTTAATGAGGAAACTGCCCTGAAGAAGGCCCTGTGTGGCCAAAACGCGTTGGTCCCTTTCCTTAAAGGACATTAGAGGACTTTTTATCAGAGTGCCTCGGATTTCACCCTGTCTTTACTTTCCCACAGAGGGTATCTTTGATTTGCTATAACATAAGCTAGCTGGAGCCATTTTCCTTATATGGGGATTTTTTACGAAGGGGTGACCATAACAGGGGCAGATGGGTTAAGACGATTGTTAAGGCAAGTTGGATCTACCCCGGCAAATGAAGGATTTACTTAGACAACATCCTATTACCGCGACCCGGCAACGGATGAAGCGGAAGAAAATGGATGGATGGACATCCTAATGCAAACACCAGGATCATAACACAAAAAGTTATTGAGTTCACATGTAAGTCAATAGCAGCCAGTGTCCGTCCATTACATTTTGTCTTATGGGCAGAGGTATGGGTGGACTGTGGATCCAATTGAAATTTTTTAAGTATTCCCAAAAGATTGTAAATGGAACAAGGAACCATCTGGATTCATAATCTTTTTGATGGAACCTCTTGGCGGAGGTCTGTTTCATACAGATAGTACTGAGCTGTCTCTTTCCCCAGGACGGAGCACTGGTTCCGGGAGAGGACGAGGAATACCTGGCGGTGCTTAATACTGGGCTGGAGGTGCAGGGTCGGTACGACTGCGTGTGCAGCTGGTTCCACCACCAGCATCTGTACCGCTCTGTGGGCTCCATGATGCTGCGCCTCAAAGGTCTCAGTGCTTTCAATTCAATTCATTTTTGTACAGGTCTAAACACAACAGCAGTCGTCTTGGAGGACTTTACAAAGTTTGATTTGCCACACAGGAAATGCAATAATAACAAACATAAAATCCATTGGTTCATAAGGGAGCGGGGTAACTACTGTCATGTTAAAAATGTTAGATTTGTTAATAAATGTCCATTAAAATCCCAGATGATCACTGTCCTTAAAGCCTCCTGCATCAGCGAGTCAAATCTGTTATTTTACATCAGGGATATAAATAGTAAGGCAAGGCAAGTTTACATGTATAGCACAATTCATACACAAGGCAACTCAAAGTGCTGAACAAAACAAAGTAGAAAAGGTCACACAAGGCATTCAAATCATAAATAAGGGCCACTTAAGTTCAGCCGTGGTTTTCAGAGGCAAAAGACATGGATTGGAAAAAGGGTTTTCTATTAAAAAGTCAGGTTTATGAGCTTTTTAACACATCAGACCAAGCTGAAGTTGGCAGAATGACAAATGTTGACTATCTCACCATAAGCATTGTAGATTTTGCGCCAAAAAAAAAAAAATACAGTCAGTATCTCAAAATAGCGTCTACTAGAAGGGTTTCAGAGGTTCTGCTCTTTACAGCGCTTGCTGATTGGTCGGATTGGATACAACCAAGGTAACTGCAGTCACAGGGACCAGACCCAGATGATGGGAAATAATAATTGACCGGAGTTTAGTCTAGAACCGCCCCAATCTAGTGCTGGAAATTAGAAATAATATTCTGAGATTCCATTGAAGTCTAACACAGCACAATCCAATTGAAGTTAAGCTGCTTTTTACCCAATAAATTCCCTAAATTAATCAAAGGGCACTAATTTGATTGTAAAAACAGAAGACGACTCTTTCTACCAAGTCAACAGAAGCCAGAGCAAGTTGGTGCCAAACTGCTGTTGAGAAATAAAGACAGAGGCGGCAGCAGCGATTTAAATTTGTTTGTATAGAGATTCCTATGATATAGATACTAGTAATGTGGGTCAGAGCAATAGTACAAAACATGCAGATACACTGCGTCCATGAGCACCTCCCTATTGGTGTTCATGTAGCCTTGTCCATCTGTATACAGTCTACGGTCCTACTAACTGGAAGGATGTTTTGAAGCTAATACGTTTTTGTGTGCAGAACAATTCCTTGTGAGGCCTCTGAGGATCCTGTCTCCAACTGAGGAGGTGCAGCTGGCGGACGCAGGTACAGGAACATACCAGCAAACACACAAGAGTTGCTAATACAAAACTCAAAAATATGTTAAAAGCACATTCAAAAGTGTGTTATGGGCCTTACCTTATAAATGACCTCCATACACCACTTCAGTTCAGAGAAGTTTCTTTTTTACGTACAAAAAATAGTTTGAGCATAGATATGCAATCCTGCAATCGAAAATAAACCCAGTTGAGCTTTAAAAAGTGAAAACAAAGGGGTGTCTGCTCTTGTGTTTTGCTAGCTGTCTGCATTTCTTAAATCAACCTTCTGACCCTTACCATCCTCATCAATTATATCGTCATTGGAAGCAGAACATTGGCTTAAGAGGATTTAAAAGATGTGTGTTAAAAATGTGTCATATGTATGTTACCCAAACCTGTAGCTGCCCTCAGCAGAGCAGGCTTCATCCACTTAAAGGCGCTATACCCGTTTCTGCAATGTATGAATGTTTAGCACCGCCCCCCAACTCGCTCAATGGCTTCTCATTTCCCCTACGCTCTCATCCCACGGAGCCACCTAGTTTAATTTACGATCTGACATGTATGCTAACATTAGCATTAGCGCAACTTCTTATAAGCTGTACAACAATCACTGATGAAATGGCACTAAAGCAACACACTGCTAACACAATATATAAGTAAAAGAATACCGCTAGTTTCACATCCGAATGTATTAATTTAAAACATTAGAATATATTATAATATTTAATTATAATTTATTATACAGCTCCTCACAGCAGCAGCACTCCATTGACTTGAATGCCATTCTTCCGATGTTTTTTACCGAGGTGAAGTTAGCCGAACGTTTGATATTCACCTGATATTCGAACAAAATCCCCCTGGATTCAAAGTCTGTCCGTATTTTCAGTTTAGTGAAGTGTAGTATTAAATACTGTTCACAATGTTGCCACCTATCAAATATAAACTTGACTTAGGCTGCAGCTGACGATTTATAACACGAAAAACAATGAAGATGAAGTCTCCGCTCCTACGTGTGCTAAGCTCTCAGCAAGGGACTGTCTGCAAAGTGCAAGATTTGACAGAACGTTGCAGATGGGTTGGTGAGTACAATAAAAAGGGTGTTTTTAAATAGTAAATGTTCCCAGTTTGGATGGGTGTAGTAGCTCCCACTGAATGATAGCTAGCTACTACAGGCAAGAATTTAGGAAAGATATTGTTTTCCCCTTCACAGCAACAAAAATGAAATTGGAAAAATTCACTAAAAATCAACAAAGACAGTTCTCCCAGTTTTGATGGGTGTAGTAGCTCCCACTAAATGATAGCTAGCTACTACAGGCAAGAATTTGGAAATATATATACAGTGGGGCAAAAAAGTATTAAGTCAGCCACCAATTGTGCGAGTTCTCCCACTTAAAATGATGACAGAGGTCTGTCATTTTCATCATAGGTACATTTAAACTGTGAGAGACATAATGTGAAAAAATAATCCAGGAATTGACATTTTTAAAGAATTTATTTGTAAATTATGGTGGAAAATAAGTATTTGGTCAATAGCAAAAATTCAACTCAATACCTTGTAATATAACCTTTGTTGGCAAAAACAGAGGTCAAACGATTACTATAGGTCTTTACCAGGTTTGCACACACAGTAGCTGGTATTTTGGCCCAACTCCCTCCACAGATTTTCAATGGGGTTGAGGTCTGGAGACTGGCTAGGCCACTCCGGGAATTCAAATGCTTCTTACAGAGCCACTGCTTCGTTGCCCGGGCGGTGTGTTTGGGATCATTGTCATGCTGGAAGACCCAGCCACGTTTCATCTTCAAAGCTCTCACTGATGGAAGGAGGTTTTGGCTCAAAATCTCACGATACATGGCCCCATTCATTCTTTCCTTAACACAGATCAGTCGTCCTGTCCCATTAGCAGAAAAACAGCACCAGAGCATGACGTTTTCCACCCCCATGCAACTCAGTATTCTTCTTCCTCCAAACATGACGAGTTGAGTTTATACCAAACAGTTCTACTTTGGTTTCATCTGACCACATGACATTCTCCCAATCCTCTGCTGTATCATCCATGTGCTCTCTGGCAAACTTCAGACGGGCCTGGACATGCACTGGCTTCAGCAGGGGGACACGTCTGGCACTGCAGGATTTGATTCCCTGTCGTCGTAGTGTGTTACTGATGATAACCTTTGTTACTTTGGTCACCGCTCTCTGCAGGTCATTCACCAGGTCCCCCCGTGGGGTTATGGGATTTTTGATCACCGTTCTCATGATCATTTTGACCCCACGGGATGAAATCTTGCGTGGAGCCCCATATCGAGTGAGATGATCAGTGGTTGAAATATCGTTTTGGGTTACATTTGGGCTATCTTTTATACAGAAAACGAGTTCAAACAGGTGCCAATAATACAGGTAATGAGTGGAGGACAGAAGAGCTTCTTAAAGAAGAAGTTACAGGTCTGTGAGAGCCATAGATCTTCCTTGTTTGAAGGGACCAAATACTTGTGTGAACAATGTGAATTCCTGGATTTTTTTTTCACATTCTGTCTCTCACAGTTGAAGTGTACCTATTATGAAAATTACAGACCTCTGTCATTATTTTAAGTGGGAGAACTAGCACAATCGGTGGCTGACTAAATACTTTTTTGCCCCACTGTATATATATATTTTCAAATTCTTGCATGTAGTAGCTAGCTACTGTTCAATTAGAGCTACTACACCCATCAAATCTGGGGGAAAAAGTCTTAGTTGATTTTTAGTGATTTTTCCCAATTTCATTTTTGTTATTGTGAAGGGGAAAACAATATTTTTCCCAAATTCTTGCCTGTAGTAGCTAGCTATCATTTATTGGGAGCTACTACACCCATCAAAACTGGGAAAAATATCTTTGTTGATTTTTAGTTGATTTTTCCAATTTCATTATTCCTACTGTGAAGGGGAAAACAATATTTTTCCCAAATTCTTGCCTGTAGTAGCTAGCTATCATTTATTGGGAGCTACTACACCCTTCAAAACTGGGAAAAATATCTTTGTTGATTGTTTGGTAATTTTTCTAATTTCATTTTTGTTGCTGTGAAGGGGAAAACAATATTTTTCCCAAATTCTTGCCTGTAGTAGCCAGCTATTGTTCAAATGGAGCTACTACAGGCATCAAAACTGGGAAAAATATCTTTGTTGATTTTTAGGGAATTTTTCCAATTATGGAGCTTAAGCGGAGGTTCAGTATGGTAGACTACCTACGTTATCACACCAGGCTTGACCACGCCTTACTCAGCCTGTCTTAATCAACTCCCCGCAGCCGTGTCAATCAAGCCAGCGTTTAAGAGCAAAGCAGAGCACAGCTCACCAAACGGACTTCAAGCTGCAATGGGTTGCTCTTCGTCACCTTGTTACTCACGCCTCGCACATTGTTCGTCCTGCATGGTCGCGGCTCCTCTTCCACATCACATGTTTGGGGCTGCGCGCCATGGTCGCTGTGTCTCCACCGCGGCTCACCGCGGCTCCTCTCCTGCGGACTCGCTGCCGCTCGTCTCCCCGTGGCCGCTGCTACTCGCGGCCAGGCGTTACTCCGTGCACCCTGCAGCTTCCATACCGGGCACGGGACTTCTGTCTGCCTGCCGTTGTCTGCCTGCCGCTGTCCACCCGTCGCCCTGCCTCCACTCACGGTACAGTGTCGGTTTCGTGTTTTCCGCACTACCATGAACGTACTGAACTGCGGCGTGTCAGTTAATCCCGCCGAATTGTCTCGCAGGCTGTGTTTCTACCCGCTGCATTGCTCTTCAGGCTGTTCGTTTTACCATCTGCATTGGCATTTAGACTGTCCGTTTTCACCATGGACCGTACATTTTAACCACTGTGTTGGCCTTCTGGCTGTCCGTTTTACTCATGGGCTGAACATTCTACACACTGCAGTGGCCTCCAGGCTGTCCGTTTTACTATGGACTGAAAATTTTACCCACTGCAGTGACCTCCAGGCTGTCAGTTTTACTATGGACTGAACATTTTACCCACTGCATTGACCTTCAGGCTGTCAGGTGTAACCATGGACTATAACATTTGTCGTCTGCATTGGCCTTCGCTCTGTCTAAATTGACCGTGGACTGTAAGTTTTGTCCACTGCATTGATCTGATTGGTCGGTGCGCGGCCAAGCCCCTCTGTGCTGTTCATTTGCCCAGTGCTCTGGCCTTACGCCACTTCGACGCCACGCTTTGACGCCACGCTTTGACGCCACGCTTTGACGCCACGCTTTGACGCCACGCTTTGACGCCACGCTTCGACGCCACGCTTTGACGCCACGCTTCGACGCCACGCTTCGACGCCACGCTTCGACGCCACGCTTCGACGCCACGCTTCGACGCCACGCTTCGACGCCGCACGCTTTTTGACGCCGCACGCTTTGACGCCGCACGCTTGGACTCCTCCTCCACGCCGCACGCTTTGACGCCGCACGCTTGGACGCCGCACGCTTGGACTCCTCCTCCACGCCGCACGCTTTGACGCCGCACGCTTCGACTCCTCCTCCACGCCGCACGCTTTGACGCCGCACGCTTGGACTCCTCCTCCACGCCGCACGCTTTGACGCCGCACGCTTTGACGCCGCACGCTTGGACTCCTCCTCCACGGCGCACGCTTTGACGCCGCACGCTTGGACTCCTCCTCCACGCCGCACGCTTTGACGCCGCACGCTTTGACGCCGCACGCTTGGACTCCTCCTCCACGCCGCACGCTTTGACGCCGCACATTTGGACTCCTCCTCCACGCCGCACGCTTTGACGCCGCACGCTTTGACGCCGCACGCTTTGACGCCGCACGCTTTGACGCCGCACGCCTCAACGACGCCGCACGCCTCAACGACGCCGCACGCCTCGACGACGCCTCGGCGACGCCGCACGCCTCAACGACGCCGCACGCCTCAACGACGCCTCAACGGCGCCGCGCGCCTCAACGTCAACGGCGCCGCGCGCCTCAACGACGCCGCACGCCTCAACGACGCCGCACGCCTCAACGACGCCGCACGCCTCAA